GGAAGGTACCTGCCCCATGTCCTCTCACCGGCTGTGTGTGCAAAATAGGTAAAAGAAAAAAACAAATGTTTCTATGATGTTTAAAGTTGTACTACTTTATTTTTGCCTGTATGCTATACTGGTTCGTAGGTCTTGTTCATCTCATCTTGGGCAGGAACATCAGGCTAAGCCAACATACTCCGCGCCAGGCCTGCATGGTATCCATGGCCTCTGCCTCAGGAAACGTGTGGTCCTACAACCACTGAAAACAAGAACAACATCTATTGAGCAATCGAGAACACAGGGAAATACAGAACAGGATTGATTTTCAAACAGTCTGGCCATCCTCTTGACCAAACTTTGATCCAACTTCTACTTACTTAGGTTGGAGGCTATCGCTACTAGGGTGGAGGCCATTGCTATTAGGTTGGAGGCCATTGCTATTCAGGTTGCACCCATCCGCTCGAGACTCTCGTCACTATTGCGCTGCGTGATTGGATCGCGCCTTGTTGAACTTCAAGCCAGAGGTCTGCCACAAAAAACAGCATGGCCCAACAGGACAATCAAAGTAATATCAAAGTCAAAGTACATAAACATAAAAAATTCGAAAGTTCCAAGCATGCACTCAGCCCAAGAAGAGTCCTTGCGATTCAGGGTAGGTTGGATAGATGCCCCGAGTCTTACAATGACAGCATATCACACAAACATGAGGCACAACATATTGCTACCAAAAGTTCACAACACTCATAAGCATTCTCGAAAGAACAGCGAAAGAACAGCGTCTGCCCAGTCTGCCCCACCGGTGATGCCGCATCCTCCTCCTCCGCCATGGCGCTGAAACCCCCCCTTGAGGGGGCACTAGCTGTTGAGAACAAGTCTTCTGAACGACCTTTCAGTCAAATGCAAATGAGGAAACACCCAGCTTGCTGTCTGGACAGTTAAGGCAAACATGGAGACCATTTCAGAGAAATTCTTAAAGGGAGCCTGTGACAATCTCTTGTGCCATTACTCATGCCTCGTCCCCTAAGAGATTGTTGCTCAGACCTGCCCCCAGAAAATGCCTATGGCCTATGAGCCTTTCCCAGCAAATCACGACAAAATCCAGGTGAGCATAGTGAACAACATATGCTTAGCAAAAAAAATGTGCACTCAACGGCAGGTGTCCTAGCTCATGGAACAACAAAGTCCAAACTGGCTCTACTACTTCTAGTAAGTCAGTTGCAGTAGTTCCACAAAAGGCTGCCAAAGTGACACTTTCCAAAATGTACTGTACTGTATGAACCTTTTCTGTCTGATTCCATTGCGGCTCCTTGGGAGCGTGGAAATCCAAGCCAGAGATCAGAAGACACTTCACCCCACTTTTTAGTAGCAACTATAGCCTTGAGATTGCAGCTGAAGAAACAGGTTCCATTTTGGAAGCAACTGTATTCACAATGTCTATCATTGTCTTCACTTTACCGTATTCAATTAAAACCCGTGAAAAGCATCCATAAGCAGGCTTCGTCGCAGCCTGAACAACATGTTCGCAGCGGTGAGGCTGCTAAGTCACCACGCAGCTGCAAGAAATACAATGTCCATCGACCCAAGAATGCAAAATCCGCCGCTTGGCCCCGCAAGTGAAACAAACATAATTAACCGATTAACCTGGTCCCACTTCGACAGCAACCAACTGACTGACATGAGCATTTGCGCTGGCGACGCAGCCAATTCCAAGGCTTGCAACGGAAAAACATCAGGAGCAAGTGCCCGTCCTGACGAAACATGACCCCAGGCCTCTGACAATCATGGCACAAGCAGAAAACGGACCTTGCACTTGCTCCTAAGCTGTCAAGCCGACGCGTTTGCGTCATACCAATGTGACGAGTGACATGATGCACAAACTGGGCCCAGGATGCTGCTCAAGGCTACCGGAATAGAGGTGGTGGCATCGGCAAGTCTTGTAATTGCTCAGGTTGGCTCATGAGCTGCGCATGTTCATTGTACTGGCATGTCCCCTTGCAGTCAACCAGTCTATGCTTGTGGCAACCATTTTGTACAAACAAAGGGAACACAGTACCTTCATATCTCCACAAGCTTGCTGCTCATGTCAGAAACCAAGTACATGAAATGATATGCGCCTCTGTTGGGAGAGATTGGTTGGCTCAGTGATTAGCGAGTTGGCATGACCTCAGGACAACCGAGTTCCGTATAACTTTCGCCATGAAAGTGCTCCAGTCTGAGTCATCAGGGTGTCAATTGAACACTAAAAAGGATGAAACCAAACAGTCGGTCTGCAAGGTCAACTCAAGGTCGACAGTCTTCAGGAGGGCGGGAATGGTCCAACAACAGAAAAAACGAGCAGCTCGGCAGCACCTGCAACAGCCTTGAACCCTAGAAGGAGAGCCTAGTGCCTAGTTAAATCACCGGGGTCGCTAGTGATTGATACTTTGGGAGCATAAAAGGAGCTTCGTTGGATGCAGTCTCACATTGTCCAGTGCATTGTCTGACTTGACGGTTGTCACATACACACACAAGGGCAGTGTCAAAGCTGGAAACTGAAACAAACATAACATACACAACATGTTTCGAAAAGCATCGGTGGGCCACAATGTCGCAGTATTCACCAAAAGTCGTCGCCGGTGGCGTGCAACACACCCTACACTCTGAGTGATGAGACCGGGGTCTATTTTCCTTAAAAACGGACGCAAGAACCCAAATGCCACTTGCCTGCACTGTCTCGGTGAGACAGTGTGGGCAAATCAGGACAACTGGGGGTGAATACTGCATATAGGACGTGCATAAGTTGTTTGAGCAAGCAAGTTTCATGAGGCTACCAGGCAAACAACGGGTGGCTGAATCGGTAGGACGTGCCAACGGTTCCACTTTCGGTGTAATCTGATGAACGCCTTAGCGTCACTTTCCTTCGTGGGTGCCCTGTTGAACTGAGATCGGTGCCAACGAATGCCTTCTGTGGCCCTGAGCTGAGCTTCTGGCTTTCAGCACTGGCCTGCCTGGGATGCAGCAGCCATGAACTGCAAGCTTCTAAACATATTGTTCCGAATACGTTCGAACATTGAAGCGAAGTCGGCCTCTTTGACCGCAGTCTGGCTTGGGATTGCAAAGTGCTTAGGCAGCATTGAACAACCGTTGTTCTCAAGGAGATTCAAAGGGACTTTAAGGAGGATGCTCTGCTGACAAAATTGAGCGCTTGAGCTCCCAAAGCACATGCAGCCTGTCGCACGCGATGCATTAACCCTTTGGCATACAAGGCTTCTCAGTTGGACGCCTCAAGCTTATCAAGCTTTATAAAGCTACAGGTGGTGGGATCCTGGCCTTTGCTTTATTCATCATTGCTCATGATAAAATCAAAGCACTCTGTAGGCGATGGCTCCATCAAAAGCATTCACTCCCAAAGCTTCCAGGATTCTTCCACAAATCAATTTGCAGGCACAAGGTGTGCCCCATGCTGGAGCATCTGTTGTATACATGGCTGCTTCAAGTCTCGCGACGGAACAGCATCTCAATAGATTGAGCGGCACAATGTTTGTACCGACACAGTCATGAGTGTCAGTCATGACAGCGATGTGCTTTTGCTGCTGCCAGCCACAGACAAAATGTCCGCACTTTTTGGTGCTTTGCCGACGCTGGTCTCAGCTGCATCCATGGTAGGGTAGTCCCAGTTGAGCCTTGGATCCATGGCTTGTGCCACTTGAAACAACTCCTGGCCATGAAGCTGAGTTTCTCATCATCAAAGGCATCCATGCAAAAGTGCTGAAAGTGCTGAGCGAAGCGGATGGTCCGATCTTGGTTGACCGCTCGCAGGACAAGAATGAGAAATCCTTGGCTTTAGGGGCACATGATGGCACGTGCACTGGGGATACCATCCACTTTTCTATCCCTTCTCCTACGCGATTTGGTGTTGACATGTGTTGACTGTGTCAAGCTCAAATTGCAATGCTGACCAAATCGAAGCTGCCATGCTCCAGCTGCATCCGCTCCTCGACGAACTCAAAGAAACCGTCAGCAAGGCTGAAGTGAAACCGGTGTTTCCAGCAAATCTCCTGGTGTTTCGATAAATCAATTCAGCCAACATGTACGGGTCGCATACAGGCATCAACGTTTGTGTCGATCAGTGTTCCTGGCAGGGCAGTGGGCACAGCAGCAGCAGCAGCAGCAGCACGCTACTAAGTAGCAAGCAACCCAAGGTGGTGTGCAAGTAGCCACAAAAAACATGGGCTGCGGCAGCAGCTGCAGTTGCATCCTAGGCAAGAGGCACAATCATCAAAACAAGGTGAGCAAGGGCCTTCAAACCCGGTAGTGCACGGCGGTGCAGGATGACGTCACAGCCATTCGGAATCAATTTGACCTGGGCAGCATGTGGCATGCCTTCTATTTGTGCTCGAGCTCCTGTTTCTTTCCCCCCACCGGACAAAATTCATGTATATAGCCAGATATGCCAAATTTCAAAGTGCCTTGACCTTTGCTAGATTCTTTTCTTCACACCGGCAAGCATGTTAGCGCAAAGCCACAAGGGCATATTGTAGTTGAATTATATACCATGCCTTGGCAGCTCTCGCCTCAATGTCTTCGTGACGAACACCAGGACATTGCACCCGCACCACTTGCTCTACAGGAGCACCATCGGCCTGATGCAACGCTGTGAGCATGTTGGGCTCAAACTTGGGTGGCGAGAGACCCAAAGTGTTGCCTTGCAACAGTAACTTTCTCCCTCTGACATTCCTTGGCTACTTTCCACCTGAACTGTTGAACAATCCAAAATAAATCATGGACCAACTCACAACCAAAGTAGCAAACTTCCAACGCACGACCCTGCTTTACGGGAGGTCGATGGAGGTCTCTGTGCAGCTACTGCCTAGGGAGGCTCGTGATTCCACGCGAGTCCTGGCCTCAGTTTTGTAGATGTGATAGCTGAAGTCATCTGGGTCGGGACCCCGCCCCCCGAAAGAAGCGAAACACCATCAGAATGAAGATGACCTGACTCCCGAGCGAAGGCCTGTAGAAACAAAAAAAAGAGAACAATAGGCTTTACTCCGACCTTATAGCAATGGCCTCCAACCTGTAGAAATACAATGACACACACAATACATTACAGTAGCCAAGACTGGCAGCACCCCCTGCTTCAAGCTGTCGACTTTTTGACCAAGGAACTGCCAGAAAAGCAAGCCTCGGTTGACTCTTGGAGCCTGAGGACCTTTGTGTTTCGCGTGGCAATGTAAAAACAATGCTACCGCCAATGATGTCGCATATGTATTTGTATTCTTTTGAGCGGGCTTCCTATGGAGCTCAAATACATTCAAATACATATAACAGCATGAAATAATTGAGTCATTGCGCTTTATTACTACAGGAGCCGCGCCACCCTTCCATTTCCATGAGACCTTTTACAACTGCCTGCTCGCTACTTCGCCTTGCGGTCCGCGCAGTGGCAACTTGCTGTTGCTATGAAGCTCTTTGGCCAACCGCGCAGCATTTTCCAATCGACGTTGAAAGGCCTTCAACTCGCAAAGAGGTGACGCGGTGGTCGATGCTTGAGACCAAAGCTCTCGCGAAAAGAATCCTCCCTTTGCAACTTGACAGAAGCACCTGGCGGTGGGATGTCAATCTCGCGGTCTGAGTCTGTTCTAGGTCGAGTGAAGCGTTTCTGGCAGCTGCTGGTCCCCCCCTCAAGACTAAGAAACACATTGGCACAACGGACAAAGCCATGTTTGTGAAGCCACACCTGTCGCTTTGTAAGAATGGCTCCTCTTTGAGGTGCAGGAACGGCAGCACAGCAGTCTCCAAAACATCCCTGACCAATCGTTTTGCTGCATAGCGCTTGTGACCAAAGACCGCCAAATCAGGACCGGCGTTGACCTCCAAGAGCCATGCTTTGGGCTGCTGCCCTAGCAGTCAGAAACAAGAAAGGACCAATGACCAATCACCACTCATTCCGGTCCTCAATTTCTGTGGCCATGGGTTCCCGAAGGGTCCGATGGTGCGGTCATTGCGCCTGGTGGTGGAGCTTCTCTCTACCCTACCTGAGAAACGGATGATACGATGATAAAACTATATATACAGGTTGTTGGCCGTCCATCCGCGTCCGCCGGATCGAGCCTTCTTCAAGAAGAAAGTCTGCTCCGAAAAGCTCAAAGCACCTACAGGTGACTGAGGCAGTTGATCCTTTGGGCAAGGTAGCTAAGAAAGGTGGATGAGCTGAGGTCAATGAACGTGTCAAACTAAATGTGACTATATATATAATATTACACAAACTATACTATACATGTAACTGTATATGTGATGATGTACATAATAATATGTTTACAGTAATTATAGTGGTCGTCTACCTACACCCCACTTGAGGAGCACAAACCCTGGATTGTTGGTTGAAATCTATGAATCCGGGCACTGTGGCAGAGGTGACCAGCCAGCACGGCCAGCTTCAGCGGCACCAAGTGCGGCAGAGAGATGGCGCGTGAACTGTGGCCACAATTCTTCAGGACGGATCTTGCTGTCCTTCAATGTGCCTTGTTCGCGTGGAACATCATGCACTTCCATCATCTCCCATCAACATGTGTTGATACTTTGAACGTGCTTTGACTTTCCGCATTAAGAGCATGTAACGAACGAGACTAGACAAAAACAATCAAAATGGAACAAAAGCAACTCTCGGAAAGCCGACGTAACCTGAACCCAACTGCAGGAGGAATGACGTGATGTGCGGACATTATCCAATCCCCCCGCCTTTTTTTAGCCGCGAACCAGTTCAGTTCCTTTTTTGGGGGTTGGAATTCCAAAGAAACACCTCTGAAGCTAGTTACTAGTTCAATCAAGCTGGCGTGTAGCAGTTGAACTAGCACTCTAGCACTTCCAACTCAGTTCCGGCTCGACCTTGTATTTGAGTGAGGACTTGGAACGGCGTCACTGAAACTTTGCTTGGAGCAAAGCCCATTGTTGGCCTGAGGTTTTGAAAACCCTCCGTTTTCAAAGGAGCTATTGATTGATGCCTGGTGTCTGTTCACCCAGTCGGCGATTCGCATGATGTCATGACCAGTTCATGTGTGAGGGTTGGGCAATATAGAATCATCATGTAGTCTGAAAGCAGAATGGAGAAACAACAACAGGAAGTGAATCTGCCTGAAACCATGGGGTTCATGGAGATTCAGAAAGCATAATGATTCCAGCCAGTTGATTGTATTTTGTTATATTGTATTGATTTGGCTCCACAACCTGGAGCCCTGTTGCGACCCACGATCTCTTCGGCTGCTGATGCTTTCAAGAGACTGAGAAGCAGAATTTGTCTTCCCTCATTGTAGTCTGGGTGTTTCTCTTGTTGGCACATGTTGGTCAAGTGGGCGGCAATCTGTGTAAGGTCTTCAGTAAATGGTTGAGAAGCCAGAAGGATGACTGCCTCATCATGCAGCCAAGCTCTAGATGCACCACACCGTGGGCATCCAACCACTACAAAGTGGCAGCGTACATGAAACTTGCGACCATCCAGCAATTGAGATTTCAGGTAAGGCTGAATTACCCATTCGGTCACATTTTGCAGCACAGACGAATGTATTGCAGAAACTTCCGCAGCACTTTGCACTAAGTAAATGTGCTCTCCGCGGTTGGCATTTGAAGCTTTCAGCACCAAGCCGGATTCTACCGATTTTTTGGCGAGCTGATCCCCAGTACTTTCCTTGCCCATCCACTTTGACACCCGACGAGGCAAATGATCCAAATCTTCTTGATCTTCGATGTCGGCAATCAGCGTCTTCGGCATCACCTGAGGTGAGTTCAGTGTCATATTAGAACACCCAACAGTCATGGCCCTTGACTTATCCGGGATGTGGACGAGCAAAAGGATACAAAGGAAATCAAAGGAAAACAGTTGGATCAAAAGCAGGGGGACATCAACCACGCCCTTCTTGGCTAGGAAGTATGCCAACATGCCCTTCCGCACCAACGAAGCGCGCAAGTAGAGGCTTGAGCGTCGGTGCAAAGTCGTAGCATCGGAAAAAAACGTATCCTAGAGACGCGCAATCCAAAACTGAAAACCAAATCTTTGGAAATGTTTTGGTGACGGCATCAGCTAAACAAAACTACATTTGGCCGGACAAAACCAATTGGAATTCGATCGGGCTATCACGCACGACCAGAAACCATGATGTGGGTGTGAGCTGTTAAACAACATTAGTTGCTTTCTACTTTGCTTACTGTTGCAGAGACTTAGCAAGTCTAGTATAGTCTAGTACAGTTCTGCTGAAATGGGTGCTTGTCACCATGAGAACATCAGTCTTCGAGATTAATCATGAGGCTTTCACCACCCGCAGGATCGCCGAGAAACCCAGTTGAGTCTGGCAAAGTCAGCCCATTCACAGGATGCCGGGCCTATTGTAATGCCCAACTCTTTGGCAGCTGCAAGAACAACGTCCCGCGCATAGGCTGAGCTGAGCGTAACCAGAATCTGCGGCCTCCTCCTCTTTTTCCACCACCAATATGCTGCGTACACAAGAACGGTTAGCTGCACCCAAAAGGAAATGCGCCATGGCCATAACGCAAGTTTCATCCGTTTTCACAAGCGGCCTTCAAATCACGTACTCGATGTGCAATTGTTCAACAAGCCACTGTGATTACCGGAAGGTGGCTTTTCTGTTTGCGTCTTCTAACGGAAATGTGGAGTGGAGCTGGAAAACCATGCCGGGTCCATCCTTTTGCAATTTGGATCAGCAAAATCCACCAAAAATGAGAAAACTGAGAAAGCTGTTGTCTCATCTTGCTTGGAGCAAGCAAGGAACTTGTGATCTGTTTCCACCACCTCCAAGCCATCTGCAATGCCAAACCTGTCCGAAGCTGGTTGACATGCACAAGCCCAAGCCCACACCAAACAAATTCTTGCAAGCCATTGCCATGTGCTTCCAATAGAACCAACTTGCAGTAGGACAGGCTTTGGGGCTTCTAGAATGAATCATGGTAGGATAGGTTGCTGTGCTTTGCAAACTTCAGCCCTAAACAAACCTACGAGTGTATATATATATATACATCTCCCCGTCTCACCTTTTGGAGGCTTCCTCTGCACGACCAGGTTGGTAGTCCTGGGGGAAAGGACTTCATGCTTTGCAGGGCTCTTCAGCTTGACCAAAAAACTATAAAAAACTGTCCTGACATTGGAACTGCTGAACCACGTCACTCTGTTCCAGTTTGGCCAATTCCATGCCTCCCACTTGTGCGAAACACAGGCGATCTTCTGCTTGAACACCACCCACCGGTGGACCAAGCAATGTCAGCACAGTACATTAAACATATATGTTATATATATATATATATCTACATATATCTATAGGTATTTATTTATGTATCGTACATATACACGCTCGCAAAGTTGAGTGCGGAAATGGCTTGCGGCTTGCCACATGCCAGCCTAAGTACAAGACCTAAGAAACCAGGACAAGAGCTAAGCAAGGGGGTCTGAACATCATCTAAGTCTCAAAAGCCTCCAAGTTCCAAATCTCAAGGTCACGAAGAGCGATCGAGGTACCGTGCAAGTCTGCATGCCTCAAAGTCACCTAAGCAGCCTGGCCAGTTAGAGGAGAAGGTGGTTACTCAACCTCACAACCAAATCAAAGTGCAGGTACAAGAGTTGGCGTCCCAACTCTCTTGCAACATCTTCCAACTGATTTCCGTAGCTTCGTTGGCACGGATAGGAAATCAGTCTCCGTGCCCCCCTGCCAATAACCGAAAGGTTCCCTGAGGCTCCAAGGGTTTCACACACACACACACGTCTCTCAACTCTTCTATTTGTTTAGAGTCTAGTGAGTCTGCAAATTTTCGATCCGGCCTATTTCATCCCGCTGTTGAGAGATGATCCACCAAAAAGAACCTGGCTGCAAATCCACTGTCGCCATGAGCCCGTCTGGTCCATCTGAGATTGCACCTCACTGTGTGGTCCAAGGCTACAGGCCATCGGACCAAGACGCAGCTTGGGACGAGTCGAGTGGCGAGAATCCAGGCCCATTCTAACAGACTTGTCACTGCGGTCATTGTCATGGCCATAGGTAGCAAGAAACAAAATCACACCACAACAAACATTCAAAAGCTGCAAGTCCAGGCCACGTTGAGACTTTAGGTTCTTGATGATGTATCCTCCTCCAGCTTTCTGCCACTGAAGCTCCCACCTGATTCGAGGCCACAAAGGCAAAGTTGGTGCTGGCACACAACCAAAACACGCCAATGCTGAACGCAGTGATAGTGAGCTGAGCACACTCACACCAGCTCCCTGTCCCGCCTTTGATCTCGGAAGACCGGAGTATCTGAATTGATCACAAAGAATCCCCTCTGTCGTTCTTGGCCTACCTGTGCATAGATCCTGACCTCAGCAACATCCTGAACATCAAGGCATGCTATATGGCTATACCAATAAACTTGAGAAGTGTTCGCTGCAATTCCTTTCCTGAGACCCCGGCCCCAGAAGCTGCATTCTGAATTGTGTGTGTGGCATTCTCACCCGCAGTTATGCTCCAGATTTGCGTCTTTGGAATTGAATCAAAGGCAGCTGTGTAAAAGCCTTGTGCATCAGCCACCAGTTTGCGTTCAGTTGCGACGTTGACGATGGTGTAAAGGCCTTGGCCCAAATTCAGCAGTTGAACAAGTATGAAATGATATCAATCACGACCTCATTATAGGAAACAAATTAGCATGACAAGCGCAGGAACCCCACAACAGCACTCTGAGACAAAAAAAATACCACAACTAGAATGGATTCCTGCCCCAAGCACCTTGAAACTGCCGCTCGGCATTTGCACAGCAGCACGCCGCTACTAGCAAGGGAAATGCAATCCATGGCCGAAAGGACACTGGATCCATCTCTGCATGGCGGCAAATTTGCACCCATTCATTTTCGAGACTGTGGCAACAGCATGAACCGTGAAACTCTGTGACACAGCACTTGAAAACGTGGACAGTCCGCTAGAGCAATTGACAAACACACCCTAGGTCACTAAATGAAGACCTGTAATGGACCGTTCCTACTGCTGAGCACCATCATCGTTGGTTTACTCTAAGAGGCTTAGTATACATATTTCGGATGTACCTAGGCATGTGCGAAACTTTTGTAAGTACCTACACATAACGTATATAGAAACACCCTTCACAATCTGTTCGCTTCAGAACTTAAATGCAACTTGGGTCTCGACCTTCTGGCCCTTGGAAGGTAAGCCTGTCAGGCAAATGGAAGGTCCAAGAATCTTTGGAGCAGCAAATGGATATATAAATATATATATATATATATACAATTTTATACAATAATCTTCTTTCGACAGCCCCCACAAAAACTACGATGTAGCCATGGAGGCATCACAGTTGGTGTGCAAACATTGAAGAGATGAAAAAGGTATGACTGACAGTGACTGCACATCGAAACTCCACCAAGCGCAGGATGCAAAAGGCCTGTGCTGGCCATATCCTAGGCTTCCGCGAGCAAGGTCGCCTTGCTGAAGCATGCGGTCGTAGACCTGGCCGTGGGTGTTACGGGCTCCCAAAGGATGCTGAGACATGCAGGATTCACCTGATTCAATGGATTGGTTTAAGGGAACATCTACAGGAAGCCATGGTTTTCACCCCCCCAAAACTATGGGTTTCGCTACTGGTGGTGTGTAGCACTGTTTGATCCTACCTCTCCTTTGGTTTTCCCTTCCATCAGGAGCTTTGCCAGACCCTTCGGCTACAAAGCACAAATCAAATGTTCCAAACAAACGCACCAGTGCACCAGTTACAGTTGGAACACGAGCTGGCATCTTGACAATTTGCAGAAGCAAGCTTCTGCTGGTCCACCCTTCAAATAAACTGGAACACTGGGCAAGTGATTTGTGATATTTTGTGATGATTTAATTATTTGTGGAATTCGGAGTTGGATCGAAGGGGGTTCGGATAATGTGGATGCGGAGGTCACGAATTTGGAGATCTACTCAAATCAAGAGTCGCTCCTTTCCTGTCGAAAAAAATATCCAGCTACTTTGGCATAGACTCAATACAATCCGGCCGCTTGCCAGCCGGACTCAGCAATGATCCAAAAGCGGCAAAGGGGGAACTCATCAAACCCAAACACTCTGAAACATCCATACGCGGAGCTGCTCACCCGCACAGCTTTACACCGAATGGTTGACCAAAGGATTCCAGCTTTGCCGACTCACCGAAAAGTGGAACATGTGCTTCGCACAGTTGCTACATTTAAACGTGTCACAGCAATGGCGGCCTTGGCTCCAATGCTGCTCCCTGTATTGTTGCAAAGCCACCATTCTACCCGGCGTAACCAGTTCGATGAGGCAAACATGATAAACCAACACATCACTCAAAATTGACCAATGAAGTACGAGAAATGATGCACACCGTACACCTGGGGAAGCCTCAGGTGCACTGCCACTCAGGTGTGCACTGCCGACAGCCTCAGCCGCGCCTGGGGCGGAACTCCCTGCTTCGACCACTTGACGAGCGGTCGAATCTCAACACATGATTTAAAGGATGCTGCGATTCCGAGCTCAGCTCCTTTCAGTTCGGTGGCTTTCTTTCAGTTTCACTGCAATTCGCAGGTAATGCTTTGGTTTCCTTGTTCCTGCTGAATTTGCCACAGCCTCCGGCCTGGGCACCATCATTGGAGGCATCATAGGGACTGCGCAAATGTGGAGGCATGACAATGTCTGACCACTTTCGGGGGCAAACCACGGTTTGTTCAACTCCCATGCCCAAAGGCGATGTTACGTTGTGCTGTTGCCGCATGCAACAACGAGTTGCGAGTCACGAATACAGCCTTCAGTCACGCAACCTGCACCCTCTGGTAATGAGTCCAACTTTCGTGAAACCCTGAATATCTGCCAAAGTATCTTCTGCAAGATTTGTAAGGTGCGTGCGAACCCAGGCACCTGCTTGCGGGCTTGGTGCATAAACATGTTGTGGCACCTCAGCCAAGATACACTAGCTACTAGTAGCTTCTCGTCCCTAGTAGTAATGTAAGGCCAGTAGCGTCCTTGCTCCTAGTAGCGATGCCAGGAGCCTCTAGTAGCTTCTTTTGTGGTAATTTATTGTATAAATCATTATAAATCACAAATCTCTTCGAGGCAGTGCTCAACACATTTACAGTCCCGACTACCACTACAGCAATGGAACATGACAAAGTACGAGATTGCTCGTTCGGTATCGGTTGAAGGCAAAACACTGCAGGCAGTGGCTGTGGCTGTAGAGCTGCCATCTGTCTGACAGCAGCCAGATGTGGTTGGCGATTTTCGACCCAACGCCTCAAAAAGATGCACGGAAACTTCCAGCTGATTGGGGAAGACAAAGCAGCGTACAGTAAACACACACACACACACATATATATATATACACCACAATACATCATGCATCGTAAACATTCAAAAACCATCAAAAACCAATCCCAAAGGATAACTCTTTCACACCTGGTGGCGGCCAAGCAACTTTCCCCATGTGACTTGAATGCCTTAAGCTTTCGCGGTTTGATTGCATTGAGGTTGAGGAACAACATGGAACAACACATGCCGAACCTACTAACCTACTAGCGATGGCCTCCAAACTACACAGGTGGAACAAGTCCTCGCCTGCCTTGCCCAAACAAAAACACCGCTCTTGGCAATGACTTGAGTCTGGACTTGCTTGCCATGTCACCACGATTTGCTCCTGAGGGATGAATACCAGGGTTTGGGGTGTCTGCTTGGCACAGTTGGCCACAAAGGCCGGCTCACTCGAGAAGACTCGAGACAAACAAATTGCTTCTGTTAGACTCTAGACTTGGCATGTGCTGGAACCACTGGTATTTGGTGCTGCGTCGTGGCGGCCCTTTTCAAGCACAGCATGAACAGGAGAACAGGAGTGCATGAACTGGCCTCAAACAGCATTAGCCTGAGAGAGGCTCTTTGATCTGCTCAAACGGCAGATCAAACGAGGAAGCATCAGTGATATGCTCATCATGTGCGAGCTGTTCACTTTTCCCGTCACCCCTGTCTGTGTCTGTGGCTGATCTGGCTTCGTCAATCATCGGCATTGCAATTGGGCAACCGAAAGTAAGGTCCATCTCATCACCCATGGACTCGTCCCTAACAAGCTGCTGTCCTGCCTGGGTCTCGGGGTCCTGCGTCTTCGGGGAATCTGGAGAGACCTTGCTGGTGGCAGTGGTTCTTGTGTCATCTAAATTCTGATCGTCAGTCACTCGATCGACTGCAAGATCTACCAAAGCTCTGGCGGGTTGACCCTTGCTTCGGATGCGGGGAGGACTTTCACTGCCCTTTGACCTCGAACGTGCACTGTCACGCGCGCTTTCACGTGCTGTGTAGAAAGATCTCGCAGAGATTGGGTCATCTGTGTCTGGGCCTTCCCCTTTCTCACGGGCAAGGCCTCCTAGGCCTTCAGTGTCCCCTAGACCCGGCAAGTTTAGTGTTGGAACAACCTCTATGTGCTCCTGTTTCTGTCCAAGCAAGCAGCGATGCAGCACCACTTGTCGAATGCTGATCTCATACTCGCAGTCCTCTTGGGGATTCGCCCAGGTACTGACTTGGGTGCCTTCATTGAAATAGTAGGTGTCACCCTCCTCCGTTCTGAAGGGACCACTCCAACAGCCCAATTCGGCCACACAGCGGTCATGCACCTCAAAGAGATGGTCACGCACTGCTTGAGCACGCTGCTCATGGTCTTTTGGGCTGTTGTCTTTGATGAGCTGGATGAGCTCCTTGTAAACGTGGTCCCAAGGATGATTCCAGCTTGTGACACCAGTAGCATCATGGTAAAAGTAGACCCGGCCCTGATGCAAATGTTCTGTCCAGCCGGCAGGCAAGGGTGCATGATAGGCCTGATGCAAAACCCAAGTGATGTTGCTATCCTCTTGGTGCTCTGGAGGAATGCCTAAGCTTCTGCCATACTCAGCCAGGTCCTCGGAGTCGCAACTTTAAACAAACACGGAGAGAGATATGTCACACACAAAACGCAACACACTCCGAAAGACAACCACAACCATAACTTATTTGACCTTTACATCCTTGTCTTTCAATACCTATGAGACTTGACATCACAGTGTCCATTTTGTGATTGAATCGCTCCAACTTGACACACGTACTCGCAATGATTCACTGATTCATCATGATTCATCCTCTGTTTGCCTGACAAGTATCTGGATCAAATTGAAGGTCTTGCTTCTCGGCTTCGTCGGACAGTTCACTTAATGCCAAGCTGTCGACATCCCACTCCAACACCCTCGACATCACATCGCGGACATCAAACAGACCCTCCAGCACGAGCACACCGAATCTGAGCCAAATATGAGGCGGCAGGCCAGTTTCCAAGTCTGCAAAACACTGTTGCGACTCGTCTTTTATTTAGCTGGCGTAAACACATCTTCACACCAATCGTCCTGTTGCATTGGCAAAGCTGCCAGCTTCGTGGTA